TTGTCTAGTTTAATGGACAGTATTAACAATGAGAACCTATATAAAATCACAATCCCAAGTCCAAAAAATGTAATTAAAACTTCTTAAAGTTGATAGCTTAAATAAACACCACCATCATATTCAAAAACTAAATTTGTAAGTTTAATCCGTCTTGAAACGCGCTTACCCGTGGACCAATTGGTTTTCCATTCTTCTCATCTGTAAGAATAAAAAACTTAAACACAATGAGAAACCATGTATAGTAAATTAACAGAGGAGAGAGATAAATTATTTGAAGTGAGAAATATGGTGAATCTTACAAGCATAGCCAACATTCCAATCTGATTGATAGCTAGGAATGGTAGGTTTTGGCCAAGTTGGATTGAACATATAGAATGTGGTGTATTGATTAACACCCACAAAATCCACTGACCCTTTTACCAATTTAACCTCTTCATCACTGAATTTTGGTAGCCTTTCTTTCACAATTTCTTGCATTGTTCTTGGATATTCACCGTATGTAAAAGGATGCAAAAACCTAATCAACAGCATTTTGGAAATTTAATTTGATAATGAGATTTTTTTTAGACCTTAATTAAACTTGAATAAATTGTGTTTGATTCTATGATACCAACCAGCCAATGTGAAAATCTCTTGCTCTTTGAGCTGCATAGTTGTCTTCTTTTCCTTTGGTAAGAGGCTCATAATATACAAAGTCCAATAGAATTCCAACTCTTCCTCCTTGTTTAGCCTGAAACGCTTCTATACTTGAGATAGTCAAAAGGCAAAATGAGATTTCGGTTCATAGCCGACTTACTTGAAACTTTTTTCGATATCTATCCACAGTTGTAGCGTGGGAGAGAATTAAATTGTGGGCTACAATGTAAGGTTCAGTTCCAGAGTTTCCAATTGTGCAATTTCCATATTCTTTCGAACACCTTGAAGGAGGCATTATACCGCTGTTGAAACCCACATCAGCGATATAACTCTTGGCTCGTTAAAGGTCATCCAATTCTTAACTCTATCTCCAAACTGTTTGAAACAGAATTCGGCATAATTTACAAAATCAATCCTGCATACGACCATATAAATATTATCTCATAAGTTTTAATAAAATTAAGAAAATATCTTCATCTATACAAAGTCCTTTGAACTAAAAGAAAAACATAAAAATATAGAGATAAAACATAGCCTAAAAACACAAATAAACCATCAATTTGATGTATGGATAAAAGTTCATCAAAAGTGATAAATTTATATCAACTATGAATACTAATTTGATCAAACTTACACAATTTGCTTGCCAAGTAACCCTCCATATCTCTCTTGAAGTGCCAAGGGAAGATCATAATGGTAAAGATTTGCATAGGGTATGATTCCTGCAAGTTTTTAATTAAATGGAAAAATAATCAATTTCATTTGAAAAGAAAAGGTAAATCATTCAACAGATCAAAGTAACAGTCAAAACAAGTATGGCTCAGCGGTAATTTGCATATACCTCATGCTAACTCGAGAATAGATTGAGGTTTTTTTAACAAATGTATCGAGTAAAACTGTAAAAGTGAAAAAAAAAATCTAATGAATTGGTGTAAATTGAATTACCTCGTTCGATCAGGTAGTCGATTAATCTATTATAGTAAGCAACTCCTTTCCAATTCACTTCTCCCGTTCCATCTATGAAAAAGAAGTTTTGAAACAAAGATTATATGCAACTATATATAGATTGATTTTTAATTAACTTAAAAAAGTAAAAGTAAGAGAGAATTTTAGATTGTACTTGGAAATATCCTCGACCAGGAAATTGAAAATCGATAAGCATCAAAATTTAACATTTCCATGTTATCAATGTCTTCCTATCACAAACAAGAAATCATATTACAAATAAGATGAAAATCTCATCACTGAAACATTAGCGTGACAATGTCTATTTGATAAATTTAATTAGCTCAATTAGTGTCATGTGACAGATGGATAATTAAACAACTTTCACTTTAATAATTTGATTCATTTGCCAATATTCAATACCCAAAAAAAAAAAAATTAATCTAATAGACATATTATATTAATAGTCTGTTAATTAAGAAAATGTCAAATTAAACGTAATAATGTCGTCCAAATTACACAATTCTTACATACCCTATATCGATGATATTGATCTACGGCAACATCTGCAGTACCATTGCCGGCAATCTTTCCTGTTCAAACACGTTTCATAGAAATTAAAAGAAAAAAAAAATGATGAAAGGTTAAAATTTTATTTTGATGCTGTCTATACACGTGTAGTACATTGGTCTACATAAGATGATATTTTTTGTAACATTATCGTTTTTTATTTTTATTTGAAATTTTTTAATATCCATTAATTCAATAATAATAAAATAATAATTTTATATTTACATCTAAGAACAAATTGGAAATGTAAAAAAGAAAAAAAAAACTTATTTTCAATTTTAAGAATGCATTTAAAAAAGAAACGATAACAGTAAATGTCTAGTACTTATTGAGATGTTTTGAAAGATTTAACCAACTGCGAGGAAAAAAATTGAACTTTTTGAAACTACGAGAATAAAATTAAAACTAATCGCAAATCAAAACACTGAAAATACCCGGGAGTTTAACGAAGGGATCCCAAATGCTTTGGCCTCGGCCATCTTTATCGGCCATTCCTTCTACTTGATAGGCCGAAGTTGCAGTGCCAAACACAAAGCCATCTGGAAATGCAGCTCTGCTGAGTCCTCCGGTGTCGAAACTGACACCGGAGAAATCGTAAGCTCCCGCCGAGCCAAGCCTGGGAATGAGACACAGCAGAAGGAAGAAGCAGTAGATTTTCATAGCTTTTTATGTTATGAGAAAGAAGAGAAGGGAAGGAAAATATTTGAAATTTGGATCTTACTTTCAAAAAGTAAGCACTACAAAAAATGTTGAAAGAAAAAGGAGTAGAGATAATGAATTTATTGAAAGTTGCAGTGGACAGAATCAGAAAGCTGTAGAAGAAAACAAATGGACCTTATCCGAAGTAAATTCACGGATGTCACTTTTTTTGTCACTTCAATTATTAGGCTTAATCCTACAAAATATCTTTTATATATATAATGAATTTTACCTTTGATCTGTTAATTTATTTATAAAAATTATTCATTAGGAGTTTTTTGTTAAAATACCTAACAAAATTAACAAATTTGGGGTAGAATCTACCATACTTAGAATATTAAAATGCAAAAATCGAAATTATACCAACTAAATTGTAGTTTGTTTCAATTTTACCTCTAAAGTTTTAAAACTTTGAATTTTACCTCCCATATTTTTAATTTCATTTAAGCATTTTAACAAAAGTAAAAATTTGCTTTTATTTTGATTTTTAATTCGAGGGTACCCACATATGAAAACTTAGAATTTGTTTGGAAGCTATATTCAAAGTAGACAAACGTTTTACTAGTTTATTTTATTTATTTATATTTGGAACAAGATAAGCAAGAATTTCTAGAGAAAAATTATTGGTGAGGACAAAAAATTTTACTATAGTTTTCTCCATTTCTCTCTGTATTTGTCTCTCTTTTTGTAGACATCTAACTAGAGTTGTTTTACTATAGTTAGCTACTTACTAGCTTTCTTCAAACAATTAATATATATGTACATATAGTAGCTACTTAACAGTAAAAATATACGGTAAAAATCAAAATAAAAGCAATTTTTTACTTTTGTTCACCGTTCCAAATCCATACTTTGACAAGGTGCACATCTTAGAATGGCACCAAAAATAGCAGCATTGTCATTATTGTAGCAGGTTAAAATACTATTTTAGTCTGTAATTTCAATTTCGGTCAAAGTGAGCATAACTTAACGGTTATTGATACATATCTCCAACCCGAGTCTGTAATTTCAATTTTGATTTATTTTGGTCCATATTCCTATAATTTTAGATTTTTGGACTCTTAAAATGTTCGCATGGGTTATTTTACTTTTAAAAAGTGATTATTTCTGTCTCTTTTTATAAAAATATAAAGTCATGATTATATTTCAAAAAATACATTGATTATAGTGTTGTGTTGAAATTATGATAGAAAAAAAATGAGATTAAAAATAAAATCAGTGGACAAAAATGGTTAGTATAAGGATGAACTAAAGTAGAAAGTATATGAATTAAAATGAACATTTTGAAAGTCGAAGAGACCAAAATGAATCAAAATTGAGATTGGGATTACAAATATCCATTGCAAGGAATTCAATTCTTACAAATAAATGCTTAATACCCAAGTCGGCTTGTAAAGTTGATCATGTTGAAGTGCTTTCTGGGTCATCTCAGACCTTGCGATTGGGTTTTAACCCCCAAAAATATTGATACTTTTTACCTCAAAAAGATTTATTTGTTACTAATAGAGTCTAACCTGTGTTCAATCTCTTCCATCTCTGCCTCACTCGTTGTCATCTATGTTGAAGAAAGGTGTCTATTACATTGACCAAAATAGTATTTTAACCTATTAATTATAAAATCCAAAATCTAAATCTTTTAACCTTATTTCGGATCATTTGTTTGAATCAATAGGTAGGCATCTTAGGAACTCTCTTGAGATTGTTTTTATAATCAACATTTATAATGTCGAATCTTGAAGTGTACCTTGATTTCCATGCGAAGCTATCGAACAGCGACCATGTGGAGTTAACATGTCACATATTGACATAGCTCCACTACCAGTAACATGTCTCATATTTTGTAAATAAATCTTCTAGCAATATAATATCGTCATATCATTTAATTCTTCAAGAAGCTTCGAATTTTCATTGCCTTTTTTTTTTTTTAACAATTCCTCGAATGAATACCTATTAGAAAGTAAAAATACTATATATATATTTATTTATTTATTTTGAATATTACAACATTTATTCAAATTTAGAGTTGAATTTCATAAAATAAAAAATTTAGGGTTGAAAATAAATATTTGCTAGTATAAAAATTTAATAGTATTATCAAAACAAATCGGATTCTTTCCATAATTAATAACAAATATTTATTATATTCATATTCTAATTTACTTCAGACTCGGAGCAGTCCGCCGAAACCTGGATTCTTCGCAAACTGTTCTCTGTGTGTTCTTCTGAAGCTGCTCTCCAATGGAGGGAACCGACAAAACCACCAAAAGAAAGCTGGTGAAGAAATCTGAAAACAAGGTCGACAAGAAACTCAAGAAGGAACTCGACGGTCCCGTTTCCCCCCTACAATTTCATCCACAAGACGACGGCTCCGACTCCGACTTGGAGGATCTTCCCAAACTTCTCGAGCCCTTCTCCAAGTCCCAACTAATCGAGTTCATTTGCTCCACCGCTCTCAAAGACCCCAATCTTCAAGCCCAAATTCGAGCCGCTGCCGACCGCGATGTCACGCACCGCAAAATCTTCGTCCATGGCCTCGGTTGGGACACCACGCGAGAAACCCTAACCTCGGTTTTTGAATCTTTTGGTGAAATTGAAGATTGCAATGTAGTTATGGACAAAAACACGGGCAAGGCTAAAGGGTACGGGTTTATTCTGTTCAAATCCCGGCAGGGCGCGACTAAGGCGTTGAAGGAACCTAGGAAGAAGATTAATAACCGGATGACTTCGTGTCAATTGGCTTCTCTGGGTTCAGTGCCGCCGCCGCAAAGCCAAGAGGTTGGGCCGCGGAAGATTTATGTGGCTAACGTGCAGCATAACGTGGATGCTGAGAGACTTAGGGCGTTCTTTGCGAAGTTCGGAGAGTTAGAGATGGGTCCGATTGGGTTCGATCAGGAAACAGGAAAATCGAGGGGTTATGCAATTTTTATTTATAAAACGAATGAAGGTGCGAAGAAGGTTCTTGAGGAACCATACAAGATGTTCGAAGGGAACAAATTGCATTGCCAGAGGGCGTCTGAGGGGAAGAACAAGAATCAAAATTCCACGCAGGCAGCGCAAAGCTTGGCGCAGACTCAGCAGCCGGTTATGACGGCCATGGCAGCAGCTCCTAATTTGCAGTTGTTCGCTCAACATCCGAGTCTTAACCCTGTCTATGGTGGATTTGGGAGTCCGGCTTTGGGAGCTGGAATATTGAACCAGGGAGTAGTTCCCATGAGTCAAGTCGGTCTGGTTGGTAGTTCAGTCGGGGCTGGGATAGGATTGAGCGGTTACAGTGGCGGGTCATATGGCTTAAGCCAATTAGGTGCCGGTGGTTCATCACTTCTAGGCTCTTACGGACCCGGTGCGTCATCATTGAAGGGTTTGCCGCATATGTACACGAGCACAATGCTTGGGAAGACAGTTTCTGACCAGGGTCAGGCGGCTGCTGGTGGGTCTCTCGGTGGATACACGTCACATTTGTGGTATGAGATATTTCATATTGTTTTTATTTACCGCACTTTAAGAAGTCTATCATTCCTCTGTTTTAACTTTTCATTCTCTTTTATATATTTAAGAATATAACCACATGTTCTATGTTAAAGACTTATGTGATTGGGAATTCAAATTACTAGCTGAAACTAGATGATTTTGCAGTGTTGAAGTAAATGTTGCTCTAGAGTCTAGATACCTCGATCATATCTTCTCTAACTGTGAATTTGCCCTCATATGGGGGAATTTTTGCTTAAAACATTTAGTAACCGATAGCGCTTTCCCGGAACAATCAAAGAAACACTTGATCAAGCCTGATGTGGGCACCTGTTAAAGGAAAGAAAAATATTAGGTGGACGGATGCTATTAAAGCTCTTCTTTGGGAACTTTGGCTTGAAAGAAGTAGCATAGGTTTTTAAGATTTATTTGTTGATAAATGATTTGTTTTGGAAAATGGGGAATGGTCTAGCTTATTGGTGTCAATTGGAGTGTTTTTATGTAAGCTCTAAGCATTTTGTGAGGATGTCTTATGGGATCCCCTCTTTTGAATTTTTTCATAGCTGCTGAAGAAAGGCTTTTCATCTTATCATGCTAGGTCAACTATTGGTGAGAGGGAATAGTTGGAAGAGATGAAGTTCACATTACTTATTTGTTGTTTGCAAATTACCGTACAATTTATTTTGACATATATCATGTCAAGATAAAAGAGTTCAGCTGAGGAATCCATAATCATTATTCGACTTGTTTGTTTTTTAGGATGATTCTGTAGAGTCTGTTAGGACTGAATAGCCAGGAGGAGATAAATTTGGTTGCCTGGGTGAATAATATTTATTTAGGTAATTGGTCTATAAAATATCTATGGCTGTCATTAGGTGGTTATTTCAAGAATTTATAATTATTGGAATTCTCTAATTCATTAGGTGGTTATCTTTAAAAATGGAAAAAGATGCCCTTTTCAAATGGCAGTCATGAACAGATGAACTTTGGCCAAGACAGTTTTATCTAATACTCCCTACATATTATCTCTATATTTAGGATGGCTAGTAGAACACCAAAGAAATTAGGATGGCTGTAGCAAATTCTTTTGTAATTACTCGCCCTCCACGATCCTTCTTAATTGGATGGCTTTCTTGTGTTAGTTCCTTGGGGGCTCTCTCTTCCCCTGCCCCTAGCTTGTACTTTTTGTGACTAATACAAGTCTTATGTTTCTTTATTAGAAAAAAAAAAAACTTCGACGGGTATAAAAACAATACTGTTCAAAGCTACTTTAATAATCTGCATGAAACTCATGAGCATCTAATTGTCTCAAGGGTCCTAGATTGGATGCTATAGCCAATATTTATATTTGGCTCACAATTCATTTAGAACACCAAAGAAATTAAGACATATAAGTCATAGGGTTTTCGTACTGATGATAGTGACTAGAGTAAAATTAAATGAATTTGAGATAAGGTTCTGTATTGTTACTGTATTAGTAGGCCAAATGATTTTTAGATCTTTAAAGACTTCGAGAGTGTTTTGAAGGAATAAGGTATCCTTAGTGAATTACTTTTTCCTTCCATAGCTAGAGTGATACTTTGTTGCAAGATGGTGGTTAGATGTCCGAGAAAAAACAATTCTTTGTGGCTTATAATCATCTTAACATGGGAGTCAAGATTTGGGATCGTTAAATAGTGCTCTTTTAGGACCTTGAATCGTTGGACTTTCTATTACAACATGCATTGCGATAATTTATTGATTGATCTAAACGTTGTGCTGGTAGTGGTACATCCATCAGATATACGAGGAAGATGTTTGATGTGGTGTTAGTACCTTTTGCCTTTTATTCCCTTGACTCAAAACCCTTTTCTTATTATCGGAAAGATACCATCAAAATTTGCTAGAAGAATAGTGAGTCTGAGAGTAGCAACGGCTTTACTTTTTTGATTACCAAAATAATGTGTACTTAAGGGAGCCCTTTGTCTTTATAGACTAGGGTCAAGGGAAACGGGCATTACTTGTATTAGTTGCCACCTAAGTAAGTAATAGATCACCTTAGGTAATATGAAACAACTAAGAAATAAAACAAAAGGTAATAACAATTTAATCCCCTAGGCCCTAACAACCTACATCAAGCTGAGAGAGTAGGGCTAGAGAGATATGTATTTGGGCCTTGCTGCTGTTGGGTGGTGAGCAACCGAGAATGAGTGAGAGGGTGGTTGGTTCTTGCTTTAAGTGCGGTGATGCAAACCGTTGAAACTGCTATGCCTGTGGTGAATCTGGACTCTTTTTTATTTTTATTTTATTTTCTTTTTAAGTTATTTTACAAAGTTAGATATCGATGGAGGCATCAACACGATCTTAGTATTAGCTGGAGAAAAGAGAAGGGGATGGCGTACTTTATACTACCTCATTATTAATCTTCCCCCTGCTATGAACCCCATTGCCCTTAAATACCTCCCCCTCAAAAACTGCCCCTACCATTAATGAATCACCAACCTCTTATCGCGAAATTCTTAACCACAAAGGTAATACTGCCCAACAAGCACCATCTTGTTTCTAGGGGTGTTTTATTTGGTGTTTCCTTCACTTTTGTTCTCAGTTTTAATCTAATGGGTCTGTAAGGCGGGCCTGTAAGGTGGTTCTGTTAGGTATTCTTAAAAAGGATTAAGTAACTCTCTTTATGGATTTATCTTGGGTTATGATGTCTGAATTAGGGATATTTTATCAGTGATCCTTAGAACAAGATGATTGATGGGGCTGAGAAACAAAAGGACGTTTCAAGATAGGAAGAGGTATTGGGAGGAGGTTCAAAGTTTTATCAACACTAATAAGTTGTTCCGCGAGCTTCCTCCTTTTGATTATCAACAATCGGAGCTCTTTTTTCCAGTGTTGTTTTGGTAGCCCCTTTTTTATTGGTTTGACCTTTTCGTTCTTTCCTTCTTTTTTTGATATTTTTTTAAAATTATTTTTGGGTCTTTACTGCCTCTCCTTGTTCTTTCAACTTCCTTACCGAAAGCCAGTTTCCAATCAAAAAGAAAAGAACAGTGGAAAATGGAAACAAGGGAATTCCAGTTTCTTCTCTTGTAAGTCAGCAGATTCCCAAAAGAGACATATTTTTTCTGTTTTTCAGAAAAATAAGGATCCGGCAAAGTTTTAGTGGGGTCCTTGATGAGCACCTAAGTTTTATTCGTTTTTTTTTACTTCTATCGGCCAGAAAGCAATTAATCAACTTTTATTTTTTATTTTATTTTTTTTGTTTTTATGTATTTCTCTGTGGTCACCAATACTTAAATCGATCTCATTACATGTTGGTTTTCTTTTAATTTTGAGCCAGCTTGATTTCGTCTTTTTATTGCTTGACTTAGTCGCTGCCCATCTTTTCAATTATTTCTCTCGGATTATTTTCAACACACTTCATCAACCTTTGTTTTTATGCTTTCCTTTGATGATCGTTCTTTTGTTATGCTTCTTTTGATTGTAACTATTTGGGGAACTGTTTATTTTTTCCTGTATTTCAGGTCATAATAGTGTTCTTGATGTAATTTTGCCCATTTGATTTTCGATTTTTTTTCGCGAATTTCTTTATTTCGATTTTCTTATTTGAATCTTCAACTTCATTGTTTTGATGAGTGTATTCATTTGACAGGCCAGATTATTAGTTTCCATTATCTTATTTCTTTTTAGATGCTTGGGAATCCATATTTCCGTTTGAGGTGCTGCTGAACTTGTGGATGAATGATCCTGTACTTTGGGAGAGTTTATGTTAAGAGCTTCGTTTGGGCTGATTTGGATTTGACATCTTTTTCCTACAAACTCTTTTCGTTTCCTTTTACTTCTTTTTTTCCCCTTTTCTTCTTTGCTCGTTCCTCTTTCTTTTTATTTTATTTTAAATTTCATGTAGTAAGAACCTGATGGGCAACCGTATGATTTACCTCACCTTTGTTGATATTATCACTTTTACTTTTTTAAGTTTTTAAATATTTTTATTATTATATATAATTTTTTGTTGTAATGTTCTTTTTTTTCCCCTCAAGAACCTCCATTTTAATCGTGGGCTCCCCACTTATAATCTTTCCTCACCCATTAGGTGATTTTGGAGGTAATGTTTTAAAAGGCTTTTTAGGCTCGAGGTTCGTCTCGAGACAAGACTCTAATTTTGTTGCCTGAAGACTTAGCGCCTTGTTTGGACTATAAGATGTTTATGCCTCTCCTAGGGGATGAAGCTTAGTCTTCACACATCACGAATGATTAGAACAATAATATTAATTTTTCTCAATTCTTAAAAAATATAAAAGTTTCTTTTGTGTATGAAATGCTAATACATCAGTTGTGACAAAATAATCTATTACTATTTTACAACATGGGCTTTAAAAACATTGAAGACAAAAATTTAAAGAACAAGTCAATCTTTATTAGTGATAATAGTAGGGATGTAAAACGTCCTTATTTAAGTGGCAAGATGGTTTTTATACTTTCATATAACTATCATGTTTAGCAATACTTGATCACACAAATTTAGGTTTGGTATACTTTTTTAATCAAATTGAGGCTTACGCCTCATACAGAGGTTCACGCCAAAAAGCCTAAGACCGCTTTTGGCCTTTTAAAATATTTTGCTTGGAGGTTGCTAGTGCAAGCGATCATTCTGTTCCTTTTAACATGGGTTTAATCTTTAGGATCTGCTAATCTTATCAAAGAATCCAAGGTTCGGAAGGGCAATGATAAGATACTCATTATTCTTCTGCTAATTTTCTAGAATGTAAAATAATCTTTCTGTGATGCCAGTTCAGAATTTGCAGTGGAAGATCTTTTGTAACGCAGGTCTATTTCTTCCTTTGCTTTGATAGCTGCAACATTTTGTCATCTTCATCATTTTTGCCTCTACCCCATTCTCATCTTATCCCCCATTCGGTTTTTTGCCTTCGTAATTCTTGTATTCATATTCTCCATTTTCATCTTTCCCAACCATTTCATTGAATCGCTTCTTACAACTGTCGGGGTTGTCAATATACTATAATCCTTGCCTGCTCCGTTTTTCATCTCGGAGTCGTGACATTCATTTGCTTGTTTGATTCTCCAAGTTTTTCAGTTGGGAACAAGTGATTGTGAAATGGTAGTTCACAAGATTGTGTAGGTCTACAGAAGCAGGTGAAGGACGCAGCCGTAATGAGCCAACATGGGATATTATTATATTGGCCTCATTCTCATTTAAAGGATGCGTAAGGTATGGCCATAAATATTTTGCGTTCTTTCAAATTAACCCTCTTGATGCTTCCATTAAAAATAAATAAGTTTGAAAGCTGTTGTGGTTTATGAATCTGCAAATCATGTCATTCTCTAAAGGAAGTGATTGCTTGATTTTGTAAAATGTCTAAATCCTATTTTGGTTTTTAGAATTTTTATGTATAATTTGATTTAGTCTTTGAACTTGAGAACAAAATTATGACTTTGGCCTTTACCATTATTTTTGGATAGCATAACTTCAATGCGGGTAAGTATTATAGAGTTCAAGGATTAGAATTAAACTTTTTGAAAGTTCAGGGACCAAAATGAAATATTTTTTAAAAAACGAATTGGGGTGTCATTTGAAAAAAAAAAAGAAGGAAAAGTTAGTGGGTGTAAGTCGCAGTTTTGACTTTATCGTCTGGGCTTCATAGTGAGTCCAAACATCATTCTGGGCCTCCGGCAAGCCCAACCAGTATCAAGGGTAGATAGAACGACATGTCGGACGTCATCTTCTTATGGAATGTATGTATATACTCTTTTTTTTTTTTTTCTTTTGGGTGATTCATTTTTTAAAAGAATGTTAATAATTGTGGCTACATTTTCATGTTAATTATTGACTTTCTGTTGAAGATGTTAGGATTTTCTTTATGCTGAGAATGAGGCTGGTGAAAGAAAGAGTTCAAGTTTTTGTTTTTGTTGTGCATAAATTTTTATCTACATGTCACCAATTCAATTGACATTTTCGTATCTCCATAGGCTCGATGTTGATAAAAAGGTTAAATCAACTTTTTATAGTATTGCAAAGAATAAATTAAATATAAAAAATACAAACTAAATATCACATTACTTTTAATTTATTTGAAAAATGGTAAAATGTTGATTTGTTTATTGAAATACTTTTAACAATTTTTTTTTTAATTTTTATAACTTATCTAGAAATATTCATTGACATTTTATTATATTTTTATCTGTATTTCCACAAAATTAATGTCTATTGATTTTCGTGTACTAAAACTTCGAATACTTCCAAGATTCTTACACGAGTAGAAATAGAAGTAAAATTCAGTAGGACAACAAATTTTTGATTCAAACAAGCCTACCTGAAATATCCATTTTCAGAGAGCTTGTGTAAAATTCATTTTTAAAAGCAAAGTAAAAACGGAAAGTAAATTGTGCTTCATTTTCTTTTTCTCTTAAACTAGCTCACTGCTCCAAACCTTTGGAGAAAAAAAAAAAAATCAGTGCTTGATAAATCTTGTATCATCCTACATATATAAATATGAAGACGGCATGCAACCAAGTATTGGATATTCAAATTTCCCCACTCCTCAAAAAATAAAAATAAAATAAAATAAAAAATAAAACATAAACAAAGTATTATACTTTTTGTTTATACTTTTATAGTTGAACTTAGAAGTTAGAAGTCAACATGGACGTAACTTAACGAGTAAGGACTCTTTCATTAAGATTGAAAGTTTGATCTTTCATTCCTATATTTATTTTATTAATAATTATCAGTGATAAAAATTAAAATCCTATGTAAGATGGAAGTAGCATAGAATTTTCATAAAGAATTCTTCTCTAAACATTACAAATTTTCTCTAAACAAATTACCTCCACACCAAACATGAATTCCACTATATATATATATATATATAATCTATAATAAAAATTGATAAATATTTGTACGGAATATTCGAAAAATGAAAATGTCATGTAATGACATCTATGGCCATTGGCCTCCATAGTCTTTTCACCACCTCTCCTCTCTCTATCGTCAACTTTTTTTTCCATTATATTGGAATTTGTCTCACCAGAACGGAACTCAAATTGCCTTAAATAGAAATCCATATTTCCCCTCTAAAATCCGAATATTTGCCGACCAACGCAACGAATTTTCTTTTAAAAATACAAAATTTCTTAATTAATGAACTGCTCTTTTTGACCACTATTTATAAATCCTACATGTTTCTAGAAATTCTTTTATCATATATATTTCTGCCAAACGTCGGTTGAGGTTGATCCAACACTCTGACACACAAACTAATTTAATTTGATCTTAGAATTGGAATTGAGTTAGAATGCAGTAAATAGTTGCAGAATAGTGCCCTCTATTTACAGGTTTCGATATTCGATAGGGACCTGATTGATGGTTGAGAGTGTCGGGTTGAAGGTCTACCTATCGGGTGTGTACGCCTGGTTAAGTAGCGCACATCGTTCCCTGGATGGGAACGAACATCTGAGACTGACTTGATGGTCTGTCCACTCTCTATCCTCCACATGGGAGTGTCAATACTCCAACAATATAGACAATTCGATTTTTTTCTTTTTTACTTATGTATTTAACTAATTATAGAATTCCCAACTTTTGAGAAAACTATTGAGAAAAGATGATTGAAATTTGATGAATAGAAAGTTATTAAGGATAATTGATGTTGCATCAGAAAGAGTTTAATTGGTAAGATGGATCATTAGTATAACTTTTTTGAATTAAGTTCTCCTGTACTTAATTGTACGATTGTCAAAGTGAAAAAGAAAAGGAAGGAAATATATTTTAAAATATAAATAAATAAATAAAGCTAAACAGCGCATGTTAGCGTCGGGGTACGCGTGACGCTAACTGAAGCGTGGCTTGTCTCCATCTCTGCCCACCGTTGGATCTGTATCCAAAAGTTTCGACAGCCGTTGATTAGTTTAATGCGCACTGATTTGGACTAGGAAATAGGGGTGTTCTCAAATGACGGAAAATCTGCAAATTCTTTTATGAAATTAAAAGTTTTAAATTCTTTATTAATTTCTTGTTTTTCCAACACTCCCTCACCCATTCTCTTTTTCATATAGTATAAATACTAATTTTTTATATATAAAATAAAACTTTAATACAAGTATTGATATTTAATTATTTTTATATATTTTTAAAAATATAATGAACCTAGAATTTTACCTTGGAATCTCCTCTATCCAACTTCTTTTTCACTTTAAGTCCCTAGATTAACAAATGGGGTAGAATATCCCCATGAAGTTAGAGACAAGAAAAATGTTGTTTGGATTCGCAAGGGCACGAATGGTCACACTTAATATAATAATAGTAGATTATCATAGGAATGAAAAGTTTCTAATTACCAACTCCAGTACTTCAATTTTATCTAAACGTCGAAAGTTTAATAGAAGCATAGATAAAAAAAAAAATTTAAGATTAAGTCAATAAAAGATGAAAACAACCCAACTATCAATAAGCAAGAGTAAATTTATAGAGATCAAACTCTAGAGCACAACTTTATTGGTATAGCCTTTTAACTCTTCGGCCTACAATTTTAATTGAAACTTTTCTCAATCAAAGTTGTCTGCGGATTCTACCTTATTGAATAGAAATTCTTTCTCAAGCAATAATGACTTTATTTGAAAAGTAGAATATCTATATCTATATGACTACTCTAACAATTCAAAATAATTAAGCACATAGAACCAAAAAATGCCACAAAACTTACAAAATATCTCTATCTCTTTGCTTTAATTAGGGAATAGTCTAGTCAATAAAATCATGTTTCTCAACCTAAATTTATGACAAAGAATCAATCCAAAGATTGATCAGATTCAAACATTACATTGAGAGCAGAAAAGTTCTCACAAACAACACAAATTTAGAAGAGAAATTGACTAAAACGAAAGAGTATAGTTAGATAGACAGTTACATGAATGCTCTAGAAACAACTATTTAGCTCATACTTGAATCTAAATTGAAAATCTTAATCAACAACATTGAATAAAGTTAAAGAAAAGTAATCGAAACTAGGCATAATAGGTGAGCATAAATTTCACTTATTGGAAAAGCACTCTCAATTCTGCCCTACCTTATTGTTATCCCCAATGAGAAAATAGAGCTTAAAACATGTGTTGATGCTACAACAAGCCACGATGCTAAGATGGTAGTGTAGCTATTCTGTTTCAAATCAAGAAACGTTAAATTTTTGTAGCATTGAGACACTGAAAAAGGCGTGTCAATCTTGGTCCTTTTATCAACCATCTTTTTTATTCAAGTGTAAAAGAGCAGCTATTGCCCAACCTCTCCATTTAAGAGTTTTGAAAGAGCATGTAGAGTAATTCATGAATCTTTTCATTCATAAGAGAAATGAGAGACTGTACAGAGATTGTAAGCTTTGGTAATAATTCTTTCTAATATTTTAGTAGATTCTTCAACAGTAGTAGAGAATTAGAATAATTCACATTAAGTGAACCAGTATAAACCCGATTCGGTCTCCTATATATTACTTTAATTTTATTATTCTTATTGCTTAAAAGTTTAGGTTAGTTTATCTATCCTTTCTAAGTTTGATGTGATTGGAATCGAAATCTGAGTCATGCATGACATAATATATAATATTAATAATATATTTTACATTTAGTATTAGATAACATACCGCGATTCCTACTATAAATACAACTCATTACCCCTTTTGTCTCCTTTTCCTCAACCACTAATGATGGTGTCAACTTTATTGAGATTTTGAAAAACTCCAAATAAAAATACAAAACATTTTTATTATTTTTGCCTAAATTTGTTAAGCTTGAAATTAAGAGATCTAGAAGTTCGAGTTGGTTAACTTTAGAAAAATAATAAGTTTTAAAAAAATTTAATTGGTTTGACATGTGCTTAGATTGTTAGATATTCATCATTTAACATAAAAATAATTAAGTTAAAATTACTATAATAATTTGCTTATAAATTTAGTAGGTAATATATTCTTTTCATTCCTACATTTTAAAACACAACAATTTTATTTCTAACATTAGTCACAGTAGAAGCAAAATAATCATATCACAAGCAAAATAAATATTTCCTTAATCAATAAATTCATTCTTTTCTAATAAACTAAACTAATTTAAATAAACTTATGATCCAACCAATTTACATAATTTAGATTGGATCGATACGATTAGATAGGTCATCTTTTTTTTTTTTGGTTAATAAATAACTCATTTCCTCGAACAATGTACTTCTTGTGATATTTATATAAAGTAGATAATAAAATCTTAATAAGATTCAAAGTTACTCTACATAACTTAGATATGAGTATTTAAAAAGAAAGCAAAAAGGCTGACAAAATATCAAAATTGCACATTTTTTTGGTAGAACAACAGAAAAAAAATTTAAGAGAGAGAAAAAAGAGTAGCAGCTTTACACCTATGTGATTGATCTATTTTATCCAAATAATGAAATATCAAAAGAAAAAAAAAACAATTTTCTTTAATCTAAAAAAAAAGTAAATAAATTTGTTTAAACCTATTTTGGATCTTGTTTTATTTTTGTCATTAAATTTTTAAATGTTTTGTACCTCTGAATCAAAATATAAGATTACATTAGTTTTTAAAAATAGAAAGATAAAATTATTATGAAATGAGTGCAAGATTTAGAAAGGCAAAGCAATTTTGGTAGTTAGTTAATTCTAAAATTTTATTCATTGGAATTTTGGTAGCTACAAATAATAAGTAAGCTATTTCAAACTATAAATTAATTATATATATTTAATTCAAACTCTTGAAACTATAAAGAATGTCATATCATTTCGATATTCCAACTTTGCAACTTCTTTCAAGAAACAATTATGTCATCTTACCCATAAACTAATTAATTGTCACATCATGATCATATTAGATAAACAAACACACTATATATTATATTATTTATAATAACAACTGTGATGGTGGTATTATAATAGTAGAGCATTAAATTAGATTTATTTGACATG